ATTCTGATACGGAATTTGCACTGAAAATGCAAATTCCGCACCGCATCAGTGTAAAACAGGGCTGAAACCAAAACTGCTAAATCTTTATTTGTTTGGACATACTCTATAAAAACATTGAGTTGGCACAGGATAAATCATCTGCTCCAGCCCTAAATCAAGCACTGGAAATAAACAATATTACCGCACTCTACCCAAGTTTTCCTTACCTGACCCATACACTTGCTCCAGCACCTTATTAGCTCTGTGAACAGTTCTCATAGTGACATTCCTAATGCTGTGAAACATATAGACCTCCACATGTCTCATAGATCAGATATAACTAATTCAGCTAGTCCACTTTGGCTTAATGTAATGAACACAAACTAAAATTATTCTATAGTCTTCTCTAGATGTGAATGAATATATGATTATATTTGGGGTGTTTAAAATAGTTTTTGTCATTGGTCATCTTATTGGGAGAAGTTCTGTCTACTTTTCCAGCGTTATTGGTTTTTTTTAAACTTCAACCGGTAACCTTGTCACAAGGGTTTACTCCCTGGTCAGGTTTTATTTCTTGGAACGTGGAGAAAATGCTTCAAGAATTTTTCTCAAAAAGCAGTAGGCTTCACATTGTTCCCTAATGAAGCTTTTTTCTGAGACTCAACAGACAGTCCAACATTTCAGCTGATATTTAGGCAATTCATTGGCATTCAGCTAATTGCCAACCATCTGAAGAAGCTGGGAGGCAAGCAAATGTGTAACTGTATCATCGGCATGAATACAATTTGGATATATGGAAGTCACCAATCCAGGAACTTTACCAACATTTTAACAATACATGGTTATTAATCTGCTAATAAGAGAATATCAAGTCTCCTAGGTAATCTTCAACCATCAGGAGCATTGTGAAAACAAGGTAAACTGCAGCCATTAACAGAATGGCCTATTCACGTGTCCATGTGAATGCAGACCAGTTAATTGCTGAGATCCAAGGCAGACCAAGACTCTATGTTCTCAAATCTCCAGTTTATTCAAACAAGTTTGTAAAAGTTCGCCTCTGGGAAGAAGTGTGCAGTGCTGTCTTCAAGATCTGGGACATATTGGACAGCAATGAAAAAACTAAGGTATGTAAGCTTTACATTTGCTTTGTAGATTCGCTTACCACTGTTTAAACCATTTGTAGAAGGACATGTAAAGTACAGAATTTCTAGTTACATTTAAATTTTTTTAAAAAAAAAAAGCGCAGCAAAGAGAATGTCACTGACACCTACTCCAAAAACCAGGCAGCTCCAGATGCCTCAGTTTTAATCCCTTGCATGGCACACAGGAACCTTTAAAACCCATGGTGTTATGAAGACATTAACCAGCTTCTGTCTGTACTCCCACTGCTTGGGCCTTACTATGTGGCATCAGGAACAAAACGTAAGGTAAAAAGGTAGAAGGACCAGAGCCATAGCTCTGTTTTCATTATAGCATGCAATGGTATTGGAAATCTAAGGGCACCATACAGAAGATCAAAGCTGGTATACCTGCTGCTTGCAATGTCACTTTACATTCTTTTCATGATCTTAGTTTGTTTTAGAAGAAACTAGAATGTATTTTAATGAGTAACTTGTCTTGAGTTATTAGTAATAAATGTTTTGTTAAATTTAACATAAAACATTTTTTTATGTTACTATCAGATTTTTAGTTGCGTTCCATTCCAGATTTTTAAAACCATATTTTATAAACAGATTTATAATTTCTCTTTCTTGTGGCTATGTGTAGACTTTTCCTCTTTTGCAATGTTTGGGTAGATTGGACAGCAGTATCTATGTTGTGAATACAACTGGTCCAGAAATAAGGCGAGGGGCCTTTAATATACCTCCAAGGGTTAGTAAAACAGAAATAGCTTAAAAAACCATATCTTTATTTTATACATGTAAAAGAACCATATAAGTATAAAATAGATAAAATGTGTTAACAGACACCAATACCACTGCTTGTTTTGTAGCAGGAGAACATAGGTTGTAGAGTCCTCAGAGATCACTCACATAGGTCGACGCATTTCGTGGGAAAACCCGCTTCATCATGGGGGAAAACAGGGGCAGTCACTAAAACAGTAACAAAAATGTATGTGTTAGAAACATTCACAATAGTTGTTACAATATCATTGTACTGCAAAACATACCCTATCTATAATAATAGAACATCCTGAATCCATTCAGAAGCAGAAAAAAAAATATTAAAGGGATAAAAAGAATAATCGTTACGAATGACTAGGGACAGTGAAGGGAGAGGAAAGGAAACACTGGGAGTAAAAAAAAAGGGGGGGGGGGGGAAAGAGGGGAAAAAGGGGGAAGGAGGAGAAGGAAGGGGGGGAGTAAAGGAAGGAAAGGGAAAAAAAAGGGGGAGGAAGGGAAAGGGAGAGAGGAAAGGAAGGGAAGGGAAAAAGGTGAATGGGTGGAGGAGGAAAGAAAAAGGAAAGGGGAAGTTCCAGGGTCTATTACAAATGTATATAGCGCTGAGTAAATTGACGGCGCTATATAAGTACCTGAAATAAATAAATAAATAAATAATATATATGTATATACCTTGAACCTTACAGGATCTAATAAACCAAGATGCAACCAAGATGTCAACAAAAGGTAGTAAGGGTAATGTTCCTCAGAATTAATATTCAGCTGCTGTACAGTATAAAAAAAAATCAGTTAAGGGTAAAGCAGATCATTATTTAATAATCAGTAATAAGATTGTTCCTGAAGAAGAAAGTAACAGAATACTAATAAACAGGAATATGATTGTTAATAACAGGTAAAGTAGCAGAATAGTAATAAAGAGTAATAGGATTTTTAATATAGAGGAAAGTACCACATATTTCTGCAGTAGCAGGGTGTTTATTGTGCTGTTTATCAATCTTGTTTTTGTCAACAAGGATCTTCTGAGAGATAAATCAGTATTATACACAGCAATCTCTTGATTCCTGTTTAACTAAGCACTAAAATTAATTTACTGATTTAGAATTTAGTGGGGCAGTTTATGCTGTTTGAATTACCTTTCCTGTCTGGACTTCCACTTTGGCGTTCACTACATGATTTTGAAATTGAATTTATGAATTAACTTAGAAGTCATTTTGTAGAGTATCCAGGTTTAAAGAGAAGTTTTGTGAAGTTTGGTATAGGAATCGGGCAGAATTCAGGGTATGTGAAGCTGCACTTGCATTTATTTACATTTATTTGTTTTATTATTGTATTGCTTTATTGTAATGTATTGTATTGTAATGTATTAGAACTCAGAAATATCCACAATTTTATATGCTGGAATCCACATTTTATGCTTTTTGTTTTATTACTCCAGTGGGTAAATAGACATTGGAAGTCTATGAAGGACTTGTTTACAAAAGAACTACAAGCACAAAGAGAAGAAGCTGGAAGTGGGTCAGGATCATCAACGAGACACTGATACATGAACTGGGAGCAACTACAGTTTCTTCTTCCTATGATGGAACATCGTCCGTAAGTAGACTTTTTTTTGTTAAATTTCTCCTGAAACAGGGGAAGCCACCTAGTCCTTCAAAAACCTGTGTAAGGAACACTCTCCCCAATGTTGTAATGCTGCTTCCGATTCAGAGATATCTTCTCTGCTTAAAATGTCTGCTTCCTTCTCTGTACATTTGTTATCTAACTTACTGCTAAGTGTCATGCTCATCTCTGCTTTTTCATTACAAGCTTATAACTCTGGTTAAAATATGCTTAGATAGTACTACACCTTAATTTAAGAGGCGTCACCAGGTCAAGAAAGAAAGTAAACTACAGCAGTGGAAACCAGACAGTGTTTAGAAACAGGATTATGAAGGACTATTCTGGTTGCAATGGGGTTTGGTGGTGAAGAACATTTTCCTACCTTATGAGTTAGTAAAAAAATTACATTGGGCAAGTAAATAGTATTTATCTTGAAAGTATTGATGCCTTTGTGCTTAAATCTTTGGGTGAATTTTGGGGAAAGGAACAGCTGGACTGGCACATTCTAGTGTGCTTAGTTTAGTAAATCAGACTGAAGTTTGCTTTGTTCAGCATACTTTAGAAATACCATTTTAATAATAATATGTCCTCATTGCTGAATGTTTCAATGACTATCACTTATTGAATATACATGCCAGAGGTGTTCTTAGGGTTGGAGTCACCCGGTGCGGTAACACTTGGTGACACCCCCTCCGACGATCCCCGCAGAATGGATCGGATCTGCAGATTGAGCATAATGGATCGGAATCTGATCCATTATGCTCAATCTGCAGATGCAATGCATCCTGCGGGGATCGTTGGGTTTCTTTACAACTTACCTTTTCTTGGAGCGGGTTCGGTGTCACCCCGTATAGGTTGCATGCCGACGAGGATCGTCAGCATGCAACCTATACGGGGTGACACCGGACCCACTCCAAGAAAAGGTAAGTTGTAAAGAAAGCCGACGATCCCCGCAGGATGCATCAGATCTGCGGATTGAGCATAATGGATCAGAGTCCCCGCACCTGCCTCGAGATGCCACTGATACATACTGGCTCAATGACAAACAGACATATCTATATCTTTTTTTTTGTGTGTCTCTTAAAGCTTACTTTTTATCAGGGGAATGTAGGAATACTTTTGTATGTTTTAGTTTACTTCTTTGTACTGAAGTATTTTATTAAACATCTCTATAGTCAAATGTTCTGTTTTGCAGCTGATTTTTCATTACCTTAACCACTTGCCTACTGGGCACTTATACCGCCTTCTTTACCAGGCCAATTTTCAGCTTTCAGCGCTGTCGCACTTTGATTGACAATTGCGCGGTCATGCAAGATTGTACCCATATGAAATTTTTATCATTTTTTTCTCACAAATAGAGCTTTCTTTTTGTGGTATTTAATCGCCACTGGGCACTTTAGTTTTTGCGCTATAAACAAAAAAAGTGCAAAAAATTTGAAAAAAAAAAAGTTTCTTTGTTTCTATTATAAAATTTTTCAAGCACAGGTGGGTGGCATTGCTGGGCACAGGTAGGTGGCACTTCTGAGCAGAGGTGTGTGGCACTGCTGGGTGGCACTGCTGGGTGCACTGCTGGGCACAGGAGGGTGCACTGCTGGGCACAGGTGGGCGCACTGCTGGGCACAGGTGGGCAGAACTGGTGGGTGGCACTGCTGGGCACCGATCATCAGGGCACTGATCATCAGTGCCCTGATGATCGGTGCCGATCCTTGCTCTGACAACTGCCAGTTCTTGGCAGTACTTTCCTCACGCTCTGACAGTGTGAGGAAAGTGCAGCCGAGAACCGGCACTTGCATTTCCCGGTGATCAGCGTGTCATTGGACACGGCTGATCACGTGGTAAAAGGCCGCTGTGATTGGCCTTTTACCACAGCACGTGATCCGCTGTGTCCGTAGGACACAGCGATCACGGAGATCGCCGGGTGCGCGGCCCCGGGGGCAGGCAGGAGAGTGCGTTCTGGGAGGACATCATATGACGCCCTTCCAGAACTGGCGGGCCGCAGTGTAGCCATCATTCGGCTATCTGCGGTCGGCAAGTGGTTAAAGTGGAGTTCAACCTGAAAAAAAAAAAGGCAGCAGCTACAAAAACTGTAGCTGCAGACTTTGAAAATACGGACACTTACCTGTCCCTCGGTCCAGCGGTGTCCTCACCACAACTGGTTTCACCGGCCGTCTTCTCTCCCCATCACCAGCATCTTCAGTGTGGGTACCCAGCTGTGACAGCTTGCGGCTTTACAGTCGGGTGCCCACTGCACATACCTGAGAAGCGCTGTGCTTTATGAATGGCCCCGTAGTCTTCTGGGAAATGTCACGTGTCCCAGAAGGCTACAGGAAGAGAGGGGGGAAGATAGCTTCTGCTTCTGGTCCCCTAGGCAATCGCAGACAGAGGAAGTGCGAGCGGGTACCTGTCAAACTCCCCCCCCCCCCCCGCTCCCCAAAGCTGCCAATTGCTAATGGGGAGCGAGAGACAAAGGCTTAAAGCGGAACTTCCCCTTTTGGGTGGAGCTCCTCTTTAAAGCGTTTAGCCCATGAGCATGGGATCCTGGCATTATCAGGGGGCAGAAGGCACAGGCGAAACCATCTAGCCCCACTGCCAGCAGCCTGTACAACTCTTTATGAGACTGAAAGCTGCTGTGGCTGGATGGTGCACCAAGTGGTACTAACGTTTGGGGCAGTATGCTCCCAAGGACAATTCCCCTAGCGCAGACTTCTTCCATTTCAGGCAGATGGTTTCTGAAAATCAGTAATTGCATAATGCACTGTCTACTTGTCTGGCTTAGTGACCTGGCCCTTGTGGTAATATGTACTGCATGGTGGGAGGGAAGCGGGAGCTTGCATGTATGCTGTAAATATTAAAATAACAGTTTCATGTGTGACAGAAGTGCAGATTGAGGCCGTGAGAAAGGAGCCATAAGCAATTTTATTTAATTTATAGTATTATGTTTGCATTACTAGGAATCTGTCACTAATATGAAAGTGCTTTTGTATGCAACAATCCACTTGTTATTCCAGGAACATAACATTACCTATTATTTCAGCAATATAACATTACCTACTGTCAGGCCATAAAAGATTTTCCTCTTGCTGTGTAAAAAAATAGTAAAATGAATTTGCACATTGTTTTAATTAACTCTACAATATTGTGTTATGCTTCATATGTGATTGAGTTGCTTTAACTGTGTATATAAATTGCACTAGCAATAAAAATGTTTATAAAATCAGAATTTAAATCTGAACTAACAATGCGATAATTTTGTAGGGCCACTTCTTCTGTTGGGACAAGTTCAGGTGAAGATATCATCCCTAAACACAGGACTGAAGAATTAAGGTTAACAACATCTCAAGTTCAGCAACAGCGGTTAAAAAAAGCCAAAAACAAAAAGAAACAAAAGAAAAGGAAAGTGTCCATATAGATCTAAAGGACTTGTTAATGAAAGTCGGTGAAGTGAAAAAAGTACAAGTCCTGCCCGTATTCAAGATGAGGAACAAATGTTTTTAAATTCCTTACTTCCTAATCTGAAGGCTGTCCACCCATTCTATAGAAATAAACTGAAGATTGATATTCTTAATTGCTTTGAGAAATATTTAAACTTGCAGCCATCTAGTAATCTGCAATCCTCAAGTCAAACCCTTTCATGAATGCTGGTTTATAGGACACAGGCTAGCGATAGTAATCGTATTTCGATTACGTGCCAGATACCCAGCTGTAAATTATTCCACAGGTCACAGCTTATAACATTTGTCTTCCACTGTCTGCCACCCACTAGAACTCCAGTAGCGTATACTTATAAATAAACCCTTTTTCAGAAATGTTTCAGGTCATTATTAGAGATGAGCGAATTTATTCAAAAATTTGATTCGGCTGATTCGGCGAATTCGCGGAATAAATTCGATTCGAGTCGAATATATTCGCTGCGAATTTAACTTATAAAAAGGGTGTTTCTAGGCTTCAGAGAGCCTTTATATACTTATATAAAGGCTCTCTGAAGCCTAGAAACACCCTTTTTATAAGTTAAATTCGCAGCGAATATATTCGACTAGCACTAGCAGAACACTGTACCTTTAATTTAAATGCCCTTGGAGTCTGCTGGGGAAGAGAAATAATACTGTCAGTCAGTATGACATGCAGATGAGTGCCGTCGATCTTAGAATCACCGCGCACTTCACTCATTTGGGCAGTCACGGGGCCAAAACCAGAGTGTGGAGCCACAGTGTGGCGGTGGAGGCAGCAGCAATGGAATTCCATACAGCACCCTATGAAAAAATGGAACCCACCAGCAGTGTGAGGAGACCTGAAAGTGGCACATGGCAGAGTGTGGCGATGGAGACAGCAGCAATGGGAGGCCGTACAGGGACCCATGACACACTCTGGACCTGGCAGCAGCATGAGGAGGCGGTACAGGGGCCCATGACAGATTACGGGCCTGGCAGCAGCATGAGGAGTCGGTACGGGGGCCCATGGCAGATTACGGGCCTGGCAGCAGCAATGGGAGGCCCGTAATCTGCCAGCACCCTATGACAAAATGGAACCCACCAGCAGTGTGAGGAGACCTGAAAGTGGCACATGGCAGAGTGTGGCGATGGAGACAGCAGCAATGGGAGGCCGTACAGGGACCCATGACACACTCTGGACCTGGCAGCAGCATGAGGAGGCGGTACAGGGGCCCATGACAGATTACGGGCCTGGCAGCAGCATGAGGAGTCGGTACGGGGGCCCATGGCAGATTACGGGCCTGGCAGCAGCAATGGGAGGCCATACAGCACCCTATGACAAAATGGAACCCACCAGCAGTGTGAGGAGACCTGAAAGTGGCACATGGCAGAGTGTGGCGATGGAGACAGCAGCAATGGGAGGCCGTACAGGGACCCATGACACACTCTGGACCTGGCAGCAGCATGAGGAGGCGGTACAGGGGCCCATGACAGATTACAGGCCTGGCAGCAGCATGAGGAGTCGGTACGGGGGCCCATGGCAGATTACGGGCCTGGCAGCAGCAATGGGAGGCCGTACAGGGACCCATGACACACTCTGGACCTGGCAGCAGCATGAGGAGGCGGTACAGGGGCCCATGACAGATTACGGGCCTGGCAGCAGCATGAGGAGTCGGTACGGGGGCCCATGGCAGATTACGGGCCTGGCAGCAGCAATGGGAGGCCCGTAATCTGCCAGCACCCTATGACAAAATGGAACCCACCAGCAGTGTGAGGAGACCTGAAAGTGGCACATGGCAGAGTGTGGCGATGGAGACAGCAGCAATGGGAGGCCGTACAGGGACCCATGACACACTCTGGACCTGGCAGCAGCATGAGGAGGCGGTACAGGGGCCCATGACAGATTACGGGCCTGGCAGCAGCATGAGGAGTCGGTACGGGGGCCCATGGCAGATTACGGGCCTGGCAGTAGCAATGGGAGGCCCGTAATCTCCCAGCACCCTATGACAAAATGGAACCCACCAGCAGTGTGAGGAGACCTGAAAGTGGCACATGGCAGAGTGTGGCGATGGAGACAGCAGCAATGGGAGGCCGTACAGGGACCCATGACACACTCTGGACCTGGCAGCAGCATGAGGAGGCGGTACAGGGGCCCATGACAGATTACGGGCCTGGCAGCAGCATGAGGAGTCGGTACGGGGGCCCATGGCAGATTACGGGCCTGGCAGCAGCAGCAATGGGAGGCCCGTAATCTGCCAGCACCCTATGACAAAAAATGGAACCCACCAGCAGTGTGAGGAGACCTGAAAGTGGCACATGGCAGAGTGTGGCGATGGGGACAGCAGCAATGGGAGGCCGTACAGGGACCCATGACACACTCTGGACCTGGCAGCAGCATGAGGAGGCGGTACAGGGGCCCATGACAGATTACGGGCCTGGCAGCAGCAGCATGAGGATTCGGTACGGGGGCACATGGCAGATTACGGGCCTGGCAGCAGCAATGGGAGGCCCGTAATCTGCCAGCACCCTATGACAAAATGGAACCCACCAGCAGTGTGAGGAGACCTGAAAGTGGCACATGGCAGAGTGTGTGGCGATGGAGACAGCAGCAATGGGAGACCGTACAGGGACCCATGACACACTCTGGACCTGGCAGCAGCATGAGGAGGCGGTACAGGGGCCCATGACAGATTACGGGCCTGGCAGCAGCAATGGGGAGGCCCGTAATCTGCCAGCACCCTATGACAAAATGGAACCCACCAGCAGTGTGAGGAGACCTGAAAGTGGCACATGGCAGAGTGTGGCGATGGAGACAGCAGCAATGGGAGGCTGTACATGGAACCATGACACACTCTGGACCTGGCAGCAGCATGAGGAGGCGGTACAGGGGCCCATGACAGATTACAGGCCTGGCAGCAGCATGAGGAGGAGTCGGTACGGGGGCCCATGGCAGATTACGGGCCTGGCAGCAGCAATGGGAGGCCCGTAATCTGCCAGCACCCTATGACAAAATGGAACCCACCAGCAGTGTGAGAAGACCTGAAAGTGGCACATGGCAGAGTGTGGCGATGGAGACAGCAGCAATGGGAGGCCGTACAGGGACCCATGACACACTCTGGACCTGGCAGCAGCAGCATGAGGAGGCGGTACAGGGGCCCATGACAGATTACGGGCCTGGCAGCAGCATGAGGAGTCGGTACGGGGGCCCATGGCAGATTACGGGCCTGGCAGATGACGACGAGGCTGCCAAGTGCGATCAGCCTCATCATCATCAATTAGGGTCTCCGCCTCACTACTAGCCCCCTCGGCTGCGTGTGGGTCAGGAGACAGACCTGTCTCTAGACCGGCTACCGAGCCACTCTCCTCGCCAGTACTTCTTCGCCTGGCTGCTGAAGAGGCGGATGTCTCCCTCCGTTCCTGACCGCCCTCTGTTAGCTCTTCCTCACTGTACAGTGGGGCTGAGCCCACAGCATGCGATACTTCGCTTGGTGAGGGAACACCAAAGGACAGGGGCAGGTAGAGGACACGTGATTTCAGTGGGCTTGCTCCCGGGCCATGCCAACTAACGGTTGTGTCTGACGTACCCACCGACCGTTGGCTGTAGGTGTCAGAGGTGACCTGGGAAGAGGAAGACGACCGAGCCAACCAATCGATGACGGCAGGGTGTTGTCGGTGGAGACACACGACCGCTGGATGACACCGGGAGCACTGGCCTCTGGCTGCGACTAGTGCTGCCTCGACCCCTTCCTCTGCTGCCACGTCTGCTCACTCCTGAAACATTGCCTCCTCTGCCACTCCTCTGCGTGTTGTCTGACATACTCTTTAATTCAACGATTCTGTGTCCCTGAGTAACGATTCTGTGTCCCTGAGTAACAATTCTGTGTCCCTGAGTAACGATTCTGTGTCCCTGAGTAACAATTCTGTGTCTGTCCCTGAGTAACGATTCTGTGTCCCTCAGTAACGATTCTGTGTCCCTCAGTAACAATTCTGTGTCCCTGAGTAACAATTCTGTGTCCCTGAGTAACGATTCTGTGTCCCTGAGTAACAATTCTGTGTCCCTGAGTAACAATTCTGTGTCCCTCAGTAACGATTCTGTGTCCCTCAGTAACAATTCTGTGTCCCTGAGTAGTAACAATTCTGTGTCCCTGAGTAACAATTTCTGTGTCTGTCCCTGAGTAACAATTCTGTGTCCCTGAGTAACAATTCTGTGTCCCTCAGCAACGATTCTGTGTCCCTCAGTAACAATTCTGTGTCCCTGAGTAACGATTCTGTGTCCCTGAGTAACGATTCTGTGTCCCTCAGTAACGATTCTGTGTCCCTGAGTAACAATTCTGTGTCCCTGAGTAACAATTCTGTGTCCCTCAGTAACAATTCTGTGTCCCTGAGTAACAATTCTGTGTCCCTGAGTAACAATTCTGTGTCCCTGAGTAACGATTCTGTGTCCCTCAGTAACAATTCTGTGTCTCTGAGTAACAATTCTGTGTCCCTGAGTAACGATTCTGTGTCCCTCAGTAACAATTCTGTGTCCCTGAGTAACAATTCTGTGTCCCTGAGTAACAATTCTGTGTCCCTGAGTAACAATTCTGTGTCCCTGAGTAACGATTCTGTGTCCCTCAGTAACGATTCTGTGTCCCTGAGTAACAATTCTGTGTCCCTGAGTAACAATTCTGTGTCTGTCCCTGAGTAACAATTCTGTGTCCCTGAGTAACAATTCTGTGTCCCTGAGTAACAATTCTGTGTCTGTCCCTGAGTAACAATTTTGTGTCCCTGAGTAACAATTCTGTGTCCCTGAGTAACAATTCTGTGTCCCTCAGTAACGATTCTGTGTCCCTCAGTAACGATTCTGTGTCCCCGAGTAACAATTCTGTGTCCCCGAGTAACAATTCTGTGTCCCCGAGTAACAATTCTGTGTCTGTCCCTGAGTAACAATTCTGTGTCCCTGAGTAACAATTCTGTGTCCCTGAGTAACGATTCTGTGTCCCTAAGTAACGATTCTGTGGCCCTAAAGTCTCTCTGGCCCTAACTCTGTCCCTAATACAGACAGGTCTGTCTCTCTTGAATGACCGGAGGCTAATGGAGAATTGTAAGATGGCCGCAATTTATAGCTCCACCATTACACAGTGCTGGCTGGCTGGCTGCTGATTGGCTAATGCGATCACATGTCATGAATGAATGCATTATGGGTCAGCGCGCCTTGTCTGCGCGCCTTCCCAGAGATCCCCGCTCCGTCGCCACACATGTTGCGCCGCCATTTTTGGGAAAATTCGATTCGTGCATCCGAAGTTTGCTAATTTTCGGATTCGGCGCAAATCGAATTTTTCCTGATCTTCGAAACGAATTCCACTTCGCCATGTTCGATTCGCTCATCTCTAGTCATTATCTTTTAATACATGATAAAAAAGCAAAACACTGCTAGTTATTGGATTTGTTATGTTTATTTTAGTAATTTTATGTGACAAATATATAAAAGTCAGTTTCAGTTTTATTCTTTTGGTACTGAAGTTTCAGTGGAGGGTAGAGAAGTATTTATGGTTAACTTGTACTGACACACAAATGAGAAACCAATGCTTTCACTGGATATCCACTGTAAGGTGACAGACAATTATTTGCAGGAACTCTGAAGTCATCAAGACCAGTGCAGAACCCAAAGTCCTACACTGGACGTGAGGATGCCAAGGAACAGTCCACCGCTGGAGCGTAGGGGAGCGTGGTGGGTGCCAGGGAAGTTGAGGATCAGGTAAGTAAAAGTGCTTTTCCTGTCCTCTTGACTTAAACAAGCATTTAACCTTTGCAGTACTGCTCCATCTACACTAAAAGGGAATATTTTTTTTTCTTGAAGTTGATCTTTAAAATTCGTGTTTTGCCCATTCATTTCAATGCTCCCTTTCCCAGCATCATGTACTCAACTGTCCTTCACCCCCCCATTATTCCATTCAGCTGCCAGAAGCAGAGATATGATATGCCTTACATATGCTTTGAGACTCTTCAGTTGATGCATACATGGGACTAAGGCTTCATCCCACCACCATGTGAAAGGACTGGAATACTCCAATTCGCTATGCATCCCATAGCTCACCTATTCATAACATTCAGCCCGTGGTGATGTAGACAGGTCAAGTTACTGGGCTCTTCTCTCAGCTTTCTTTTTTTTCTCAGAACTTTCATTCGGTTATGTTGTGATACACAGATTTACTGACGCATACACAGGACTAGAGATTTACAATGATAAATATATCTACAAAATGGTATTCTTACTATATAACATGAAGACCTTTATGAAAGATTCCTGAGACTTTATGTAAAGTCTTAAAATGTTACTAAAGTTTTTTTTTAAATTAAAATAACAAACATGTCATACTTATATGGTCTGTGCAGTGGTATTGCACAGAGCGACGCCGATCATCCTCTTTTTGGGACCCTAATCGGCAATCTTGGCTCTTCCTCTTCTTTATGTGTCCGCCTTGGGACATTGTTTGCTATGGGTGCACACAGTGTCTGTGCGTTCCCGAGCTGTGTGTCTATGGAGCCGTACTCCACAGACACACATCAGGACTTAGCCCCGACCCTCACTTCCTTTTCACTGCATTTGATTGACAGCTCAGGGGCCATTGCTTGTGAGCTCCATCTTGTATCTCCTACAGTTGGGTGATTGTTGGAATACAGTAGATGATATTTTTTGTCTTTGTTTGCAGGCTTTAATTGACAGGTAAGATGGTGAAGTTGTCTGACAAATTAGTTCATCTTTATAACCTTTAAATGATTCCTATTAATGTACTCCACCATCAGAGCATAATGTTTCCCTAAAGTCTGGTCAGTAAATTATTTCATCCTGTCAGTAAAATGGTGAGACCAACATTTAGAGTTTGGAAACATTTCCACAGTGCAATTTCTGCTAAAAGGAAAATGACAAGGATGCCAAAACATATCCTTGCATGTCAGAGGTGCCCTAAAGACATTGCAAATACTTTATGGAATGAAAATGATGAGGACCATAATGAGAGTGCAAGTAGCTTTTCCCTCCAGAGTTCCCATTCCAGAAATACTCTTTCTGCTGCTTCTGGATTATCACAAAGTGTTTCTTCACCAATTTGTAAAACTACAAAAAAAATGTTTTCACTTTTTCCGAAAATTTCCATTTTTGTCCTAAAATAATTATTTTTTTTCTCATGGATTAAAAATGTCTGAAATGTGACATTTCTACACAGGACTATAGATGTTACCCCATGTGACAGGACTGGAATACTCCAATTCACTCCTCAAGCCATAGTTCACCATTCATAAAATTCAAGCAGCAGTGACTTTGACAGGTTACATGACTGAGCTCCTCTCCCAGCTTTCTTTTCTCTTTCAATCTTTAGTTCTGTGCAGAGCATATTTGTGTAGGCTCATGTTGAAGTGTGTTTCCTTACTGCATTTGAAATGCACTTCAGGCCAGGCAATAAATCATTAATTTTAATTGAGCAGTACTCATAGCAATTCAGAGGCTTGTTTAACCTGCCTTGTGTAGTGTGTTTTTGTATGCAGTATGCCCTTTTGAGATGTGTTTGAACTGCAGTCAATACAGGCCAATGATGCCTCTGTCAAACACTGACTTTGAAAAGAGTGTCCATCAACATGAGCCCTAAAGCACATCACTATGACTTTTAAATAAGTGTTTGCTAATTTTTCTTACAGAGATTTCCAGAGAGAGAGAACTGGTGCAGACAGGTCAGATTTTGTGTATGTGTATCGGGTGCATTCTAACAGTGGTGCAGAAAAATGCAAGTATAAATTCTACACAGGTATCTGAATTTGGTGCATGCTGCGCCACTTTTATAACGCATTAGAGATACTTTTGCAAAAATCTGTTCCAGTCTATAAATTCCAGGGAATGTGTTTGTTATTGTAGCAGTTTG